TGAACAGTTGGTGGCTGAAACTGATGTTGAACAGGTGCTTGCTGTTGGAACTGTGGAGGACCAAACCCAGGTGGTGCCTTTTGCTGCTGTGTATTGAAACTAGGACCCTGAAATGGTTGCTGTTGCTGACCAAAACCTTGATTCTGACCAAACTGATTCTTTGGTTGAAAAGATCCTTGAAAGTTGTTCTGGGGAACAAAGTTTTGTGGAGCTTGAGGATTGGGATACACCTGGTCTTGTGGGTTAGCTACATTGGTGTTCCTGTAAGAAAGGTTTGGATTGGCATTACCATACTGATATCTTTGGAACCTCTGGTTCCCAATGTAGTTGAGCTCCTCCTGGGTAAGACCTTCTTCACTTATGTTCTCAAAGATTTGAGAAGGTTCCTCATACTCTCCAACAAAATGTATTGGCTTCTGAGTGGTGAATTTCAGCTTGTCTAATTCACTTCTCAACTCCTTAACTTCTCTGGTGAGCCTCTGTTCTGAGCTTGAACCTTCAGACCTATTTGATCTGTCATAGTCTTCACCATAAGTATCATTGCTCAATGCTAAGTTCTCCACTAGCTCTAAAGCAGCATGTATCTCTTTACCCAGAAAGTTCCCATTGGAAGCAGTATCCAGCTGGTTTCTAATCTTGGGAAGAGCTCCTCTATACAGTGTACTGAGAAGAGAAGCCTCACTAAACCCATGGTGTGGGCATTGGTTTGTGTAGCTCCTGAATCTCTCATATGCTTCACCAAAACTTTCATTGCAGTGCTGAGTGAAGCTAGAGATTTGGTTCCTCAGTTTTGCAGTTCTTGAGGTGGAGAAGAACTTAGATAAGAAGGCTTGCTTGCATTGCCCCCAGGTTTGAATGGAGCCTCTTGGAAGATTCTTCTCCCATTGATGAGCTTTATCGCCAAGACTGAATGGGAATAGTCTTAGCTTAAAGCTGTCTTCTGAAACTCCATTGATCTTGGTCAGATCACACACCTTATCAAACTGGTCCAAGTGTTCCAAGGGATCTTCCATTGCTAACCCATGGAACTTTGAGTTCTGGACCATATTCAGCAATGATGCTTTCACTTCAAAGTTGTTGTTTTGCACAGGTGGTGCCTGAATACCAGCTCCATACTGATGAGCATTGGCCCTGTCATTCTCTCCAACATAGACTTGGGGTTGCTCATATCTTCTTTGCTGTGGTTGGAAAGGGTGGGGTTGGTGGTGCACCTGGTGTCTTTGCTGAACATTGGCCTGATGCCTCTGTTGATGAGCTTGAGCTTGTCCCTGGTGGACATAAGCTTGTTGATGGTGCACCTGTTCCTGCTGAACATTACCCTGGTGAAGCCCTTGACCAACTCCAATACCAGCTTCATGACCTTGAGCCTGTTGCTCCTGAACTGGTTGTTCTATATGTACTACGTGATCTCCTTGTTCTGCCATCTCAGTCTGATCAATTTGTCTACCACGTCTGTCTCTTCTCCTCCTTGGTACCAAAAGGTTGATGTTGTCGTTTAGAGGAAAAGGAGGACCACAGCTTCTTGATCTAGACCCGGTGTTCATACACCTGAAATCACAAACAGAACTTGAAAGGAATCAGTAAAAACAAGAAAGTAAGCACTTGATCTCAAGAACAGATCAGAGCTTAATGCTAATCAAACCACAATTTGGCAACGGCGCCAATTGATAGACAAGACTTTTTAGGGTCTCAGGGCTATCAATCCCCTTGTCAATGTAGCACAAAGAGGTTTATCAATCCAGATGTGGTGTTAGACACTAAGCTATATGATCAAGTTCTTAATTCAAGCAAACAAGAGTGGGTTTTGATTAATCTAGAGACAACTATGAACATAAACAGGATTAAAGACTAATGACAATGACAAATGATATGAATATGATATGATGGAGGCATGAGATTCTAGACATGATAGTTGGTTAGGGTGCTTTGGTGTTAAACTAGAAATGCTAATGACAATGATGAGACATGATTCAAATGATTAAGAACTCTAATCTAGGTTAATCCTCTCATGAAGGTATTAACCCCTATACTAATCCATTTTCAAACCAAATTCCCATTTGTGAAATATGAATCAATATGCATTAATAAACAGTTCTCAATGATCATTCAAGCATTTAACAAATCATTCCCATGATGAAAAATTGCTTAAACCTCTAACACAACTCTTTCAGGAATTTCATCAAACACTTTTGGTGCATGAAATTCCCAGAATCTAGATCTCAAGTGATTATCAAGGATCTAGCATAGAGAACAGTTGTTTAGAGAAATGAATCAATGAATCTAGCCCTAAGCACTCCTAATCTAACACTTTAGCACCCTAACCTACACATCTAGAACCTCATTAAGGTAACTACTCACTAATCATGATCAACACACTAGATCCTTTGCAAGATGTGTTGTTAATCATGATTAGAAGTTGATTTTGATGATAAGAAATGATGAGCAAGAAGGAAAGAAACTGCAAATCGATTTTAAACTCTTTAAAACAAAGTGCATTCAGTAGGTTTTCACCAAAGGGGAAAGAAGACTAAAAGTAGATTAGGTGTTCTCTCCAAATTAGGTCTAAAAACATTATAAAGGGGGCTTGGGCGAACCGGGTCAACCCGGAACAAACCGGGTACTGACCCGGCCTTGATGGGCAAAGAAAGGTTTGCCATGGTCTGGTGCGTCCTTGGTGTGACCGTGGCATTCCTGACCGTGTCAAAGACTTCATTTGTGTTCTTGGTTCATTTTGATGCCACGGTCTGATCAAGCTTCATCTGGAACTCGTGGCAAGCTACCGTGTCAAACGCCGAAGATGTGTAAAGGTTGCCACGGTCAAGCCTCCAGACCGTGGCATTAAGTCCCAGACCGTGGCATTCAGCTCGTGCCAATCGCCGAAGGTATGTAAAGGTTGCCACGGTCAAACCCCCAGACCGTGGCATTTAGGCCGTGTCAATCGCCGAAGGTTGCAAGATTCTTCTCAGCCAAGTGTATGCTTGCCACGGTCAGGTGTAGACCGTGGCATGAAGATCGTGTCATTGGCCGAGGGTGCACAAAAGTTGCCACGGCCAAGTGTGGACCATGGCATTCTATCGCGGCATGCTTAACTTGGTCGCTTTGGGCTGTCTGGACCATCTCGCATTCCGGAGAGTGTAACTTCCTGGAGACTTGTCCGAATTGAGTGATTCCGGTTGCCGAAGACAGAGGACTCAGTTAGCTACAACTTTGATGAAGGACGTTTCGATGCTTGGGAAGTTTAAGGCTTCCTGGAAGGCACATCTTTGCAGTGCATTTACACGACCAGAGAGAGGCGTCTAGACATGTGTCCATTCCGGAGACCGTATCTTTCTGCTCAAAGCTCCGAATTGACTGATCTTGGATGTTCTGGAAAGAGGACTCAAATGTCTCTGATTCTCATGAAGGCCCCGGAAACTGAATCGGCCTGGAAGTGCACCGTCCTGCGCATCTGTCAGAACTGATCTACTCGGTCCGGAACAGCTGCGAGACAGGGGTTCCTTCCGACGAGCTTAACTCTCTGCTCACGCGTCCGAATCCCACGATTCCAATTGCTATGAAACCGTGATCAAGTCTTCTCCAACTTCTATGAAGCACCCGCCATCCGAATCGGACCGGAAGGCTCCCCGGACAGGCGATTTCTGAGACACGTTCACACCCGGAGATTTTGGCCGATACACTTCATTCGCGGTACATGAAAATGGCCGGTAAAGCTTCCCGCGGTACATGAAAAAGGCCGGTAAAACCTTTCTGGCCAGCGAGAATGGCCGATAACCTCCCAAGACCCGATTTTTCCACTTTTCAAGCTTTGCTCACCATTCCACCTCCTAGATTCATCTTTTCAGCTCCATATTCACCTGATAGACACTCAAAACATGCAAAGACTCATTGGGACCTAATGCATCTCCTAAGTTCTAAAACAAACCCTAAGGACCTAAAATGCATGAAATAAAACATGATTTGGAATGATTTATGCAACCTAAATGATGCAAATTATGAACATATCACTGGAGAAGATGGATTACAAACCACACTGGTTTTGATTCAGGCTCAAGTAGATCAACAATTGGGTAAGTGGCCCAGTTGTACTCTTTTTCCCTTACCTTTGGTTTTGTCCCAATGGGTTTTCCAAAGGAAGGTTTTTAAGGAGGCAATGGTGTCTACTTCTCTCAAGGCCCAATTGTTGATTCAAGGACTTAAGTCCAAGACAAATTTCGTCCAAGGGAAGTTCAATAGGCTGGAGAAGTGACTTGAAGAGTTATTCAAACTTTGCATTTATTTCCTTGTCATTTTCGAGTTTGCCTTGTTTTTCTACATTTCTTCTCTTTATAATCTCTTGTAATCTCTTATGAGAACTCATCCTGGATTGGATCATCAAACTTTTATCAAATAAAACTCTATCTTTCTCTTATCAAACCTGGACGAAATCCTTTGTCTCTTTGAGAGTGATTCGCTGCTTGTGCAGCATCTTTATCATCTCTATTCTCTTTGTTTTCTCCTGAGAGTGAATCGCTGCTTCTACAACATCTTTTTCATTTCTCTTCTATCTCTTGTGATCAAATTAAACTCTGAACAGCAACCTGATCTATTAATCTCTTCAAACAGAAGTCTATTCCGCAAACTTCTGTCCCTGATCTATCTCTTACCAAGCTTCTGAGTGCCGATCCTTGGGAGGATCACATCCGGACAGCACGAATAAACGGTTTTTTCAAAAATCAAGTCATTACGTTTTTGAAAACCGAAATAATGAAAACAGTGTATGAGGAATAAACGCGACCCAAAAAAATCAAATTGGAAATGACAAAAACTAATTAAGTGCCTTTTTGAAACCCGTTGCACCGTTTGACTGACTCGTTTTCCTCTCTTTACTTTATAATGTTTTTCCTGTCGTCCTCTATAAAAACTGTCATCTGCCTTCTTCAGTGAAACAAGTTTCCGGAGACAGAAAAAGTTAATTACAGCAGAAGTTAATTACACAGAAAATTAATAGTTACTTTCTAAAAATGTACTCTGCCAAAGTGATCTCATTGCAATTGAAGGAGGTGGAGAGGAAAAACAGTCCATGTTTCAGTACAGGTATTCGTGGTTCTTTTGAAAATAGGGGGTGTAGTTTAGTTTTAGTTCTTGAGGATCAGTCTTTTACATCGTCTACCTAATTAGTGTTTTGCCGATTGCATTAGGACCTGTGGGTGAGGACTTGTATCACTGGGAAGCTATCATAACGGGGCCTAAAGGTTCACCCTATGAGAATGGTGTTTTCAAACTAGACATTCACTTTCCACTTGACTACCCTTTCGCGCCACCGAGGGTAAGGAATCAAGCATATCATTGCTCTCTCAAATTGCTGTATTTTTAGGGTTTGGGATTTAGTCAATTAAGATTTCAATTACTAATAACACAGCAAACTGGGATTGCGCGCGTCATACATCCTCCTCAACAAGTTGGGAAATTCCCAACTTGCGATAAAAGGCATATCGAAATCTTCGGGAATAGGCATCTCCAATTCCACGAGATCAACCGATGCTAGAAAATTTTTGGTTTCTGTGCAGGCCTGGAACCGTTTGCAAACTTGCTTTAGTGTGAAAATATGTTGGACGGAGTTGCAACTGTATGCGAGAACCTTCTCCAATAGATCGTCGGGTAGCGCCATCAGAGAGGATTGACAATCACGGATATCTGCATCACATCGCCCTCTCTTTGGTGCCATTGTTAATTTGTGAGGTTGATTTGTGAAGAAAACGGTTGTTTATGGAGAAGGAATAACTGCGGTTTAGGATTTGTGAGGATAACGGTTGTTTATGTTGCATATATATAATTATTAAAAAATCCCACTAACTGAGAGCGTATACATTAAATGCGGTTACCGTTCAGATTATAAATGAGTTTGTAAAATTGGTGGGTAAACAAAAAATTTTCTGGTTGTACACCCATTTGATGTACACCTAAATGGATATTGGTGTACATATACAAATTAAGCCGGGAACAAAGTATTCACACACCAATTAATAAATACTAAAATAAATTAAAGTATAACCAAATTAATCTTGATGTACACCCATTTGATGCATTTGATGTACAACTAAACGCATATTGGTGTACGGCTACCAAATTATTCCCCGAACTACGAATTGACACACCAATTAATAGATTATAAACATATAAATTATCAAATAAACCCACATCCTAAACATTATCAAACACATAATCCAACAAATACACCTTTCATAAATTGTCAAGTTCAACATTAAACTTCACCATTCGTCCTAAGCGTTGGCAACAGCCAGATTCCCAACAAACTCTTCATATGAGTCCATGGCGTATTTCTCCCTTAACCTGTCAACGTCATCGTCCGTTATCAAACCCATATCTTCCACTCCAAGCCCTGCAGCATGCATCTCTAACAATTTGGCCGAACATGGGCCACAATCACCGGATCTCTTGTTCTGATATATGCCCTCCAAACGACTCCATATGTAAGGGGTGGTGCGTAGGCCTTCCGTTAATTTGCTATCCAAATAACGCTTCAATATAAATAGCATACTTTGACACACGGGCGTCATATACTGCTCCACAGCCGCTTCATCATTATGACTGATGAATGAGTCCAAAATCTTTATGTTGCCCATTTTAAAATCAATTACAAGGCCCACCCAATGCTCAGACCCCCAGTTCATCAGGACGTATACAACGTCCACAAACCGTAGAAACATTTGCCTCTGACGTTGATTAGCCCACTTTGCAGCTTTTCCCAATACAATGCCCTGAATGGTTTTCCCCCAGTCATACTGATTTTTTCCTCCATATATGAAATCGTTGTAGTAGTTGCCGATGATGGATATGAACAAGGTGTCTACAAATGCTACCCTGTCTTTCAAGTATATTTCACCTCTACGTCTCCAAAGCATGGCCATTATGACTTGCATGTGCTGACGAATAACAAAACATAAATAACATATATTACAGATAATTAAAGATTCAGTAAGTACTAACTATATACTTACCATCGTGTTAACCCACTCAGTAGGCTTCGCAATTTGTAGGAAGAATTGATTGTTCACAATATGACCAGTGACAATGCAAAAGTCGCTGAAATGAGAGCAATTGGTAATGGATAACAATGAAAGTTTAAGGATAAATTGCTTTGAATACGATATAACTTACATGTTTCTTTCACGCGATAATAACTCCTGGAATGCCTTGAAGTGGTCTTGTTCCACTGTTTCGAGTGGTTTATACGGAGCTTTCGATCTGGATACAAATAGAGCTTTCACCTTTGAATCTGCGGTGTAAATATCTCGAATCTTGTCCGACCGTACGCGTGCGCGTTTTCCTCTAGCTCTTCCTCCTCTTCCTGTTCCTCTACCTCTTCCTCCTCTTCCTGTTCCTCTACTTTTTCTCTTTACACCAGACGATCCCTCAACTTCTTGTGGGGGTTTTGGAGTACAAGGGGTCTTCTGCGAAGCATCACTTGCATCCTCAGGCGCAGTATGGTAATCTTTCCCCGCATTTGAGTCCTCCTCATTAGCCACAGCCTACAAACCACCGTAACAATAAAGCGTATAACATATCAATCGTATACCTAGCGTATACCTAAAGAGTACTGTATACACATGCATATCATATGAACAAGTTTAATGTCTGACCTGTGCATCCAGTGCATCTGTCTGCGCTTCATTTTTCTTATATGCGTAGCTCAATGGGTGAGGAGTTTGAGGTTTGTAGACTACTAAGGTGCCTGACACCAAAATTTGTTCTACCACCATCCACCTGAATAAGTCATAAAAAACATAGCACAGTACACACACGTTATATAACTTAATAGAGTCAGCTGCTGACTAAACAATTAGCTCACCTTGTTGAGTCCAGAAGGTGGATCTTCATCCCGATTGACGAAGTAAGGAGGTGGACGAGTTGTTCCTGAATTGGCTTGTTCAGGTTCAGGGGTCTTCGTCGGAGCTTCTGGAGTCTTCAAGTACGCATGGTCCCTGGGAGAACAATGGTCCCCACCGTAGTAAGTAGAGGTCCCTTCTTCATCATCTCTTTCTTTCTGGTGTACACCATCTTGGGGGTGTACAGCATCATCATGGCGTACGCTAGACTGTGCACCATCATAACCTCCTTCTTCACCTCCATCTTCGACTTTGTGTTCATCTTCATCCGGTTTTTGACCACTTTTTTTTTGGATTCTGTCCTTCGTCATCCTGTTCCCCATCTTCTTTTGACTGGTGTACATCGTTATCTTCTTCGTCATGTTGGTATACGCCCAATCTCTTGTCCAACTCTGTCTTAATCTTACGAAGGAGCAAATTATTCTGACTTACTATCCATCTTTTAAGATCTTCAATCTGTCCACTTTGAGGGGTTTCATCTTCCGATAGATTAGAAGAGTTCTTGCCTCTGCCTCTCTTCCTCTGCATCTTACGTTTTTCAGTTTGATGAGTTTTCAGTTTCTTCTTCGGTCGGGTGGATGGCTCAGGTTCCTGTTCATTGGTAATGTCGTCCTCTGCATCACTAAGATCCACGATAGGTGCCGGTGCCACTGCAAAATCCGAAGTTGTGAATTTGTACCCTTCGGCCATAAGTTCCTGCATGAATGCAACTTCGGCATCCTCTACCTCATCTCCCCAACGCAATTCATTCTGTTGGTCATTGTCACCATCATCCACTACCATCTGTTTCACAAACAACTAAGATAAAAACAACAATTGCAAAATTACCAACCAAAATGACAGAGTACTTATCTTTTAAGACAAGTACTACAAAATAAGACTACAAATAGTACTAAATATAATACTACAAATAATTTACCAGAGGATCGGATTCCACGGCAAGTATGTCCCCAAGATGCAATAGTGTGATAACGTTTTGACAGCCTTCGGGATCTTCAACGAAAGTCTTCAAGTTATCAGGTTGAGGAATTTTGGAAACCAACATTGGTATAGATTGGAGGACCATGAGTTGTAGTGATAGAGGGAAGCCATAGCATGCACTAGCTTTCTGTTTAAGTTGACGGCGCAATCGTGTTAAAGGATTCTCCCTTTTCTCAGCATCCGTGATTGCCTTGGGAGCTTGAAAACGAAGATACTGTTTTGTTTAAGGATACCCTCCCCCATGGATACAGCATGAACCTATCCAAGTCAGTCAACATCTCAACGTATTTCTCGGTGAGGGCCAGATTTTTGCTATTGCAAAACAGAACACCGTCGACAAGAACGATTAGGGCCAATGGAAGCCGTTTCCATCGGGGTAGATCCAGGTTCTTTAGCATTTCTAGCACATCAAAAACGTTCATAGCGCTCGCTCTTCCGAACAGGTCTTTCCAGATTCCTGTCTTTCCGACATTGATTCACACTGGATGTACTCCTAGTTTCTACTGCAATAGAACAGTGATGTAGTTGTAATATAAAGGATTCGGAATCCAGAGGACCAGTGTTACTCTATGACTTTGCGAGGATTGAATTAAAGCTAAGACGAAAGATGGTTTGTTGCGAAAACTAAAAAGCAAACAGAATGGCAAACAATTATTTGAATTCAGATTAAAACAAGCACTAGATCAAGGTAATTCGCAGGAGTTTCAGAGATGAGAATCAAATGACTATTCAAGGCACAACTTAAATGCAGGTCTCGAACTCAAACATAAAAGCTTATCGATCCACTGTCGTGATCTCGATAACTTTATCTAACAACCTAAATTCTAAACTGTCGTTTGAACTTAGAAAATTGCAGACAAGCATCAACAAGCAGGTTTGATCTGTTCACGATTTGCCTTAACTTCAACTGTCGTTGGCTAAGGACAAATCGCTCACCAGTGTTTGTTCTAGCAACCTATTACACTTTTGATGAATAGATTAACCTATGAACGTAAATTGAATGGCCAGTTCAACCTAAGCGTTAAGTCTAACAAAGGTGAAGACAATCGATTATAGACCCTATTTGCATCCAATTCTCTAACTCATGAAATCCTTTGAAACCCTTAATCTAGCTAAGAGATCTACTCAGACATGGAGGAAAGAAACACAGCAACAAATGAAAAGGAATTCATGAATTAAAACCGCAGAAGAGATAATAGGGTTCAGAATTCTTCTCAAAGTGTAGCAGATTTCTTCTCCCAAAAGCTTACAAGTAAAAACTCTCTGGTTCAGGAAATTGTAAAAAAAAAGCGTAAAAAGTATGTAGAAAAACGTGATAATAAAAACACAGGCGGCTCTGGGCTTTTTATTCCATCTCACGCGACTTAGGATTAGGTAAAATCGTTTTTCTTATTTTTCTCCCGTCCGGAGCAGGTGCTCCACGAAGGGTCCGAACCGGGAGCAGGTGCTCCGCGGATGATTTCTCCAAAAGCGTGTGAAATAGCTCCTTATTGCTCAAATTAATCTCCTTTTGCTCCAATGCCTCCTAAACATTCTAATCCTCTGATAAGGCCTCTAAATCACCTGAAACTTCCTGAAAAGACTCCAAAAACTCATAAAACAATCAGTAAACACAAGTTAGAATGAGTCAAAATCTCCACTCATCAACTCCCCCGAA